GCAGAGTGTCTTGGTGTACTTGTGAGAGTTTAGTCTAGGTTTAAATGTCCATGACTCTGTTTTATAACTGGGAAATGTTCATGACATCCTGCTTAAAACATTGTTGGGAAATCAGAGTAAATCTCTCTAAATCTTGCTTGTATCTTTTAGCTTATCTGTCTAGTTCCACGTTTCTTCTCTGCTTTAAATCAAAATACAACTTGACTCTTTGGCTTTCTTCCTATAAGTCTGTGACTATAAACAGATAAATATTTTCTCTCATGAAACTCTTTTTCCTTATTAATATTTATTTGATAATGAGATAGCCAGAATAAAAATAATATTGTAAATAAATTTACAAATGTACCATTCCCCAACACAATTGCATTGTTAAGGTGATGATGGGTATCATGGAGTTGGGGCTGAGTGAGGGATAGGACTGGGAGTTAATGGGATGTCAAAGTAAAAAGAGGGGGAAAAAGTTTTGAATTACAACACCATTTTTGGGGGGTTGGGAAGTGAAGACAGGGGATTCCATCTCTTGTGCTAAGGATTGCTGGATTAGATTACTCTCTGCAGCAGATGCAGAGAAGGAGGGGAGAATGCACTTCTGTTGTTTAAACAATATTTTTCTTATGTTCTCCTCTCTGCTTGACAGCCACCAAGTTCGGTTAGGATTCACTCACAGCCCTTCGTTTTCTTGGTGACAGGCAAACAGCAAAATATATTCGGAGCTAGGAGATCTCTCTTCTCCTTTGGAAGGTTTTCCTGCTCTTTAGATGAGGATCTTTCTGTTCCCTGCCTGGGCTTCTCTTGATCTCTCTGTTAAGTTTTACAGTTTTTGAGGAGATTCTTGTGCCTTTACCTGAGTGAAGACATCTGAGCACTTTGATGCTTTGTAGAGCCACGTGCAGCTTTGTAAGAATTAAATCTTGTTCAACAAGCCTGCCTTTTTCTGAGGAGATCACAGGATTCTATGATAACAGAGATTGTATGGATACTATTGGATTTCTTCGAGTCATTTGATCTGTTATCAATGACATCTCATCAAAAATCTTACAGTATAAGCAAGCTTACTGGTTACCTTAAATTAAAAAGTCCCTCACTGTAGATTTGGAGACATATCAGTGAGTGGGTCATTTCTAGTGGGGCCAGAAAGGTCAGTTCTTGGCCCAGTGCAGTGTAGCGTGCTTTCTGCCTCCCCCCCCCCCCCCCCCATCTGCTTATGTGAAATGTGATGGTAAAATTTATGGGTGAGACTAATTGAACAGTAAATAAACACAGGGAGAAGGACAGTTATTGCTACGAAGTATTATCTGAGTTGCCCAATAAAGTGGTCATGACACAGCAAAATTAGGTTTTCTGCAAATAAGTGAAGTACATATCTAACCCAGGAATCTGGCACCATGAGAGCCTGTCTTGGAAAGCAGCAATCCAGACATGCTTGAAGCAGATGAAGTTGACAGAGCACAAGCAACAGTTTGTTCTTGGTTCTGCCTCTCTCACACTTTCTTATATAATAGTTGTTAAGAGCAGGAGGAGCTGGTGTGTGTGCTGTATGCTATAGGCCAGACAACTTCAGCCTGTTACTTTTGTATTGAATTCAGCAGAGGCACAGGCGTTACAGTAGTCCTGTTTCCATCTCCTACTAGCAGTGTTCCTCAAGGTTTCCTGTTTCATCAGAACAACCAGTCACCTCTTTCCTTAGCAATATTACTTCTGCTTCATAGACAGTGACTATCCGTTTCTCAAATCACCTAGTAGATAACCAAATTATCATACACTCAGAGCAGTTGTTTCCTGTATGTACTTGTTCTGAAGACTGGCACTTCTATTTCAGACCGTTGTTTAATGATAAGATAAACGTTGCTTTCAGCTGCAAATACAGAAGCAGAAATGTAATGGGCATGTATCTGATCTAGCATTAACTCCCTGTGACAATTCAAATATGTTACCAAGTTTTACTAGTTTGTACCAGTGGGCCTTACAAGTGGCTTAAAGTCCAAGTGGCTTAAAGTCGGCGTACATTCTACACCAGGTTCTCTAGCCATTTTGACAGACACCCGCAGCTGTGCATAATTTAATAAAAATCTATTCTTACTAATTTTAAAAATTTTGAAACATTTGAATTTTCACAACTGGAAAAAAAGAACCCCAGCCTCTAGAAAGACACTATCTTACTAATGTTAATAATAATCTATTCCAGTTATCCATATAATTCTAAAATAAGTTTTAATATACATATTTCAGAACCTCAGATGATGAGATGCTGCTGCTAGGTGCTTTTTGTAGTTCCTTGAAATAGATAAAGGCCAGAATGGAGAATTCAGCTCTTGGAATACTCTTTACACATTTATAGTTAGAACTTTTGTAGAAGAAGAGAGGAGACTTGCATGCAGCTATGAACTTTTCAGTTAGGACAAACCATGCAGGAAGAAGGAATTAGGCAGGTTGCACAGATCCTTATCACATAAACACCAAGATAACTGAGGCTCGGTTACCTATGAAGAAAACTGAACAAATAATTATGTACTACTGGCTGGAGTGTAGGAGTACCTTGAAGCGTAAGAGTACCTTTATGTTTTTGAGCAAAGATGTACCAGAAACAAAGAAAATTCTTCATTGTGATGTGATACTGCTGGGACTCCCCTTTAATTTTCCTCTCACTCTTGAGGAGAAATT